TTCCAGTGATTGTGCGTGATTTTAAAGTAGATGATTGTTCAAATCTTTGTAATGAATTATTGTTGTCAGATAGGTTTTTTCTTAAGATAAATAAATGTGTTATAGCTTTTAGAGATTTATTAGATTTTAAGGACATTCCTCATGGAATAATAGGAGCTGGACTAGACCCTTACATTAGGGCATATGTATTATATGTTATTAGTTGTTTTTTGACCCCACCAAGAGATCATAGATCAGTTTCTTGCATGTTTCTTGGTCTACTAAGAGATGTTGATTCTATGAAGAATTATGCATGGGGGGCTGCATTGTTATGTCATCTGCATAACAGCTTCAGAGAGTTCAAGGCAGGAAGACTTCGAGGGAAGAGTCCAACAATTATGAGTTTCTGTGCTCCTTTTCTCACGGTAATTATTATTTTTATTTATTTCGTTCATTGCTATAATTTATATAAGTTAATGAATTATAACTTACATTTTTCAATTGTGTGCAGTTTTTCTTTTACGAACACATGCCCGTAATTCCCCGCGCTATTTATGATTTCGATATTTATCGAGAAGATTTTGAAGATAGGGAGTTGATTTTTACATTCCCATTAATGGTTGGATGGTCCAACTCAGTGGAGCGCAAGTCTAAAAATGTTTATGCACAAAAGAAAAAAGAAAAATTTGATTTGCTGCTCACGAATGACAATGTAAGAATATAATTTATGTGAATTTTTAGTCACTACTCGAATTTTCTTTAATTTTCAATTAACTTTGTTATTTTCTCTTGTTACATTATGTGGCAGCCATATGCAAGATTACGTGATGATTTTCTTCCTGACTATCTTGCTGGCCAGATGGATGTTGCGTTTTCGCGCACAATTTTGATATGTTTTGAGAAAATAGCACATCACAGGCCGGACTTGTGCCCACTAAAAATGAACTTACAAGCTGATTTAGTTCCAGTTGAGCCATCAGTGACCATTGTCAACAAGAAGCGTACCGCTTCTCAGAAATTTGACTGGAATGTGAGGCATGCTGTTTTTGTTAATATGTGGGAGGAGAGAAGATTACATTTGATTGTGAATAGAAATGGTAATTTATTTATTTTGTCTTTTTTTTTTTTTTAGTTTGTTAAA